CAAATAACAGTTCATCATACATGGGATAGAAATCCTATAATAAAAAAACAATGTAATAAACATACTAAAAAAAAATTAATTAAAAAATAAATAAATAAACAAATAGATAAAAAAATAAATAAACAAATAATAAAATAAATAAATGAATAAATAAATAAATAAACAGATAAACAAATAATGAAATAAACATACTAAAAAAAATCTGAAAAAATAAATAAATAAACAAATAGATAAAAAAATAAATAAACAAATAATAAAATATATAAATAAATAAATAATGAAATAAACAGATAAACAAATAATGAAATAAACTCCCCCCCATGAATACTGAAACAACACTAAAACTGGAGACCGAGAACTTGCCTTGCTGCGGGGTTGCGATGCCTGTACCTCCAGTGCCGGACCTGAGCACACAGCGACTCCCAGATGATCTTGAGGATGTTTCCGAGAACACTTCCCTCGGGGGGAACAATGTGATAGCAAGGCAGCAGAACAATGAACAAAATCAATGCCACAACAAGACATACTGCGAAAAGAAAGGGAAAAAAATCATAACTACTATGTAAATATACCAACAGCTAACAAATAAAAGTATACAAGTCTAGTACATGACCGAAACAATACTAAACATTAACTGTAATCCTACGATTGAATTCCGAGACTCACCCGTGGCAATGAGGTACCCACAGAAGAAACCATTCGTGCATATCCCCGGGCTGTCTTGCTCAATGTACGTGATGACGCCAACTCCCACCAAACTACCCAAGTTGATGCACCAGTAAAACCAGTTGAAAAACGACCTTGTTTTTTGTGGATTTGCAGTTCTCAGCTGTGGGGAAAAAGTGCTGGCTGAAGGAAACACAATGGAATTATACATACAAGTCTAATAACTTTATCTTTTTTTTTATATATTTCATCTATCGTTTAAAACATAGACCAACCTGCTCAGCCCCAAAGGGTGCAATGTTGCTCTTAACAATGCCAACACCCAAACCAACAATAGTGACAGATATGTATACTGCAACTTTGCATGGAGCATTGGCATTATCACCTGAGTCACCTGTGAGGAAAAAAATATATATATTATGATGATATTGTAGATTTGATGTCATATTCTGTAAATTAAAGCTTAATCTCGGATAAACTCTGGCACATCACCACGGAGTACAGCTGTATCCCACAGACCATGCAGTTTGTTATGAGGCCAATAGGCGTAGCTTGTCAGCATTGGGTTAATACCAAAAAATCAGTTCTTTACATTAAAGGAATAGTCCAGAGGGTAGTAGAATGTGTTTTTTTTTTACTTTATTTGCAAAATAAATAATCTAAATAAACATCCCAAGGCATCATTTTGTAAATTCATTCACAACACTAGTCTTTATAGCCCTTTTTATCTAGCACTTTTGCTCCTGAAATCCGTCTGCTACAAAATGTTGCCGGTGGCGCCTCCATACGGGTGTGACGTAGTACCGTGTATATGGGTCAGGAAATCAGCCATTATTGTGCATTTATTGTGACAAATTTCAATGTCTGGTGACAATTTTAGCCCGCAGGGTACGACCAAACGACGGAGGAAAGATGGAGGCACTCGAGAATTGGATGGGCATAAAGTTAACCCATTCGCGCCGGGTAAAAATGAACAAAAAATGGGGAAAATGCTGTGCTCATTTTTTATATTTTTTTTGTGAAATTTCTCTACACTAGATGGCTCTGCCTTAGCTGATTTCACATTTACTTGAATTGGCGGGAAAAATGTGCTATGAATATCGATGGTTATTTTTATTATAAACATTATAATTACTATAATGGTATAAACATTAGTAACAGCAAAATAAGATAACGCAAAATAATTTCGTAAATTAAAGAAAAGGGTAAACAGGCAAGACAAGCAGTACAAATACAAGTGGAGCCATCTATGTGTGAAAACAATTAAACATCGTGAATGGGTTAATGAAGGAGGAAGACGAGGCGTCAGATTCGGCCTATAACATGGCTCAAATTGGTATCCTTTCACCAATTCTCCTCCTACTTCCAGCTCCCTATCTTCTAGTTCATCACCAGTAAGATCTATTGATTCTGTAGACACAGAATCAATAGATCTTTCACTTTCAACTTCACTGGAACTGCTGTAATCTTGTTGCTCGCCATGTTGTTGGACAATGCAGGCTGCGAAAAATCCCACGTCCGCACGTCTTTGACGAGTGTAAACTTGTGGAGGACAAGTAAAATGTTTACCTCGCTTGTCCGCATGGACGAGTAAAAATTTCCAGTAGATTTTTCCCTAAAATTAATGAAATCTAGCAAGGTCTAGTTCCTTTCAGTTCTATGATTATGGAGGCTGCCATATTTGTTTATATTAGTTTCATATATTAGTTATTTATATTAGTTTCATATATCACAGTTGATAAATTTCTTTATAATATATATATATAAATATTTCGGACAAGTGGTATTCAGAAGAGGACGAGTGGAAAGTCAGGTGTACTTGTCCTCCTGGACAAGTGAAAAAAAAAAAAAAAATCGCAGCGTGCAATGGTTATACAAGGTATGACGTCATGTGACGTGGTGGCGCCACTGGTCGTTTTTGAGGCAGACGAATTTTGTGGGCTTACAAAATCATGTTTATTTTTATTATCCAGGTCTAAATTTACAATTTGATTTTATTAATGGATAAATATTAACCTAGGCCAACTATGGATGCAAAATAGTGCACCAGTTCTAGGCTATTCCTTTAACAGCAAATACTAATGATATATGAATGTATAGCTTTTCTTTATATATGACTATGTAAGAAACTAATGTCTGTGTAACACATAATTCAGTGAACATGAAATAATATCAATCTTTCGTAAGCTTTCTGTCAACTGTACCTAACCCATTGTAAAAACAGGACATCCATGATGTACTGGGAAAACCCTGTCTTTGTATAACAGCAACAAGTACGTGGCCTAAAAGAAACCATTTAGATGAAGACAAGACTCACCCCATCCCTTGTCGCTGAAGCAGACTGTGCGTGGTAGCCTGTCCACAGCCATCAGGGTGAGGAGAATGTAGCCACTGATGTACAACAGGAATCCCATTACCATAGTTTTAAAGCGTCCAAATTTTGCATCTGAGATATACCTAAAGAGAAAAAAAACACATGACATTGACACATATATACCCCAAAAAATAGTAAATAGTAAGTTCTATTAAATATTCTTTACAAATTGTCTTTCAAGTCTTGCCCCATAAATTTCTACCGCATACCAAAAATATAAAATACATATTCTGAGACAGCTCCTTAAGAAACTCCCAGAAAATCACTTTACCCGCACTCTAATTCCACTCAAACAAGTCCTATTCTCTGAGAGCACTCACCCTCCAAGCAGAGCGGACACATAGGACACGCCAGCAAGGATAAACACTGCATTCATGGCGTCCAGGGAGTCCCATGCCTGTCCGTCCCAAGGCCCCTGAAACATTACCGTAAAGTAGGTCACGTGCCAATACTAGAAAAAATTACAATTAATACCAAAAGTGTAGAGGAGTATAAAATGCCATTTTTTGTTTTCCACATTACAAGTCCAGAATCGATAAGCATGATAAGCATATTTGCCTTCTTAACATTTGCCATCACATCTAAATCTTTTAAAAAAAATAAAAAAAAAAATAATATAACATGTCAAAAAGTTACATCAATGCACATCAACAAAAAGAATCATGAACAAAGTAACTGTCTTTGACTTTAAAAATAAACCCAGATTCAAAAGGTACACAATATGCACAAGGACATGGAAAACAGAAGGAAATCCAAGCAACAAAAACAGCTCTTCCTAAAAAGTCATGGCAGCCCAAAAAGTATGATAAACTAATTGGGAAAACAAGACAAAAGTCTGCAAATCAACATAACAAAAGGAGAGAGGGAGGGAGGGAGAGAGGGAGGGAGGGAGGGAGAGAGGGAGAGAGGAGAGAGGAGAGAGGAGAGAGGGAGAGAGAGAGAGAGAGAGAGAGAGAGAGAGAGAGAGAGAGAGAGAGAGAGAGAGAGAGAGAGAGAGAGAGAGAGAGAGAGAGAGAGAGAAATGGGGATCAGCTGAAACACAAACCAACCTTATTCAAGAAGAGAAAGAAGTTGGTTGCCAGCGCATAGTAGGCAAGGCGTTCGAGTGTCAGCACCACCAAGATCACCACCGTCGCTGCCGTCTGCCTCCGAGCCTCCCTGGCATCCATGGCTGGGAAAATAGACATCATTTTACTTCTTATTCAAGCACAAAAAAGGAACAACAAATAGGTAACTGAGATTTTTATTAATGGTTTAGAGAAGTAATGACGGAGCACAAAAAATATCATATATTTTCAGTCATCAATAATTCTCATTAAATTTTTACTGACAGCAAATGATGAATTAGCTTTTGTATCAAGAAGTCTAGCTGTAATACAATAAGTATCACTAAATTAACATAAAAGTATAACATAAAAAATGGTTAACTTAACTAATTTAGTTAAGATTAGCACTTAAAATACTAACTAACAGGCCTGAACTGTAATGTTAGCAAGGACAATAATAATCATGATAAAGGCATTAACAGCATTATCAGTGAAAATCATTTCTGAAATATTAATGAAATTAGTGGCTGTGGTTAAGCAAATTGCAAAGTAGACACACCTTGGTTTAGGATATTTTTTTAATGTTATAAATACTAAGACAAAGACATAAAAATAACCTGTTTAAAATGCATCTGGTTTAAGGAATGGAAAACAATCCCTTTGTGAACCAAGGAGTGTCTTCTCAACTCAAGGCACCCTTTTATAATGATACAAGACCAAGACCATCATTTGTGTCCACTCTAATTCTATTTCTATCACTACTAAAGCATAACATTAACAGACAGTAATAAATGAAAGAAATCTGAATGAATGTGCAACTAGAAACTGAAGTGTTTACATGCAACTCATAAATGTTGATGTGCCAACTGCATGCCACATACAGGTCTCATCGTACAATAAAATTTCTATCAATA